CCGTGGTAATTTGGGGGTGTTCATTTTTGGTTTTGTTTTTAAAGAGCGGGGGAGTAACTTTCATCCTAGCTAGTCCCCGAAGACCCTCCCCTCTCCCCACCGCAAGGTGCTGAGCTGCATCCTCGGGTGCTGCTCTGAGCCTTGCTCCCATCAGAAGGGCTCCCAGAATCTTGCTGCAGCACACCAAACAGTTCGAACGACCCGGGTCAACCCAAGCTCATCTTGGCCAAGTGGTCTTGGTATAGATTGTACCTCTTCTCTGAAAGGGTCAGCTCCATCTCCTAACACTGCCTGCTTGGGCCACTTCCCCCATTTTAATGCACGAGGACGTATAACAAGGGGCTCGGCAGGTCCATCGGTTTAGCCTCGCTGCTAACGGAGAGGTGAGGCGAGTGGTTTAAAGCCACTCTTTGTCTCTGCAGGCGAGAGACCTGGTGATCTGTTTCCAAAAAGATTAAAGCCACCAAAACCCTGCAGGGCACGCTGTGCTTTGTCACCGGGGGTCACGATGACTCCGCATTACCAACAACAGGCAGTAAAAACACAGAGTGTCAGAGCACAGGATACAGAATCAGAGGGCCAAGATCAAATCCTCACACTGTCACTTGCTGATGTGAAACCTTGAGCCAATTGCTTAACCCCCTGGTGCGTCCGTTTCCACATCTGTAGAATGGGGTGATCATGAGAGCACTCATAGAGGTGACAATAGCAAGCCAGGTACTCAACCAGGCTCATGGCTTATTCATGCCTGTGGCATGGAAGTTAACATGAATTAACAAATGGGACCCAGGCTCTGAGCTTCTCCGTGTCCCTGACCTGCTATAACTGCTAGGATTTCTGCCCCAGCAGGTCTACCCAGTCAACAGGCCCTGACTTATCCCATCCACCTCCACTCTCCTTCTGCAGCTGAAGCAACGCTACTCCGAGATGCATATACCACACAACCACATGACTCAATTAAAGCGCAAGGCCAGAATGAGCACTGGCTACTTGGGCTCCATGAGAATGGGACCAGACGTGCATCTCTTTCCTCTTCGCACACAAAGAAGAACGTATATGATTATATGCTAATTTCAAGGTTGGAGAATTTATTTGCTCATTGAATATTCCTCATTTCTCTCTTCTTGTCTCTCTCTGCAGTGTTAAATGGGCCTGTGGGTATCTGTAACTCTACTTAACAAATTAGAAGATAATATACAAACATGATAAAACATTCAAACAGACCTTTAACCTGACACCCACAAAGGCAAACCTTATGATAATGCCCCTGTGTATCCTTCCGGAAGTCCTTAATTATGGGTTTAGGGAATGGCTGCGAATGCCCTGAAGCTATACAAAAAACATTAAATGTTTATGGTTTTTTTCTTTTCTTTCTTGAGAGAGGTTCCATGGCTGTAATCAGACTCTCAAAGGGAACTGTGGCTTCAACAAGGGTGAGGACCACTGAATCACAGAGACCCCAAACAGCAATAACTGAAGTTGAACGAAGCTACACAGAACCCAGAAAATGTCTCCCAGGAAGGACTAAGAGGATCTACGTTAGGAGCTGAGTACCAAAACTCACAGTCATCCAGACTCATGGTGACCCTCCAGGGCAGAGTAGGACAGGCCCAGGGGGGTTTCCAAAATGATCATCTTTACAGCATCAGACTGCCAGATCTGTCTCCCTCACGGTGGCTGGTGGGTTGGTACCGCTGACCTTGCAATTAGCAGCCTGAGACTGCGCATCACCAGGGCTGCTTGGGTGCTGGTTATATACCAGGTTCATCTCTATAAAGGACCTCCTTTGGGGGTATGGCTTCATTACAAACAATTCAGAAGGATTTGCTCCTCAGTAACCCTCTAAGGTAGCTTTAGGTACTAATCGAATGTTATTACACTTCCAGCGGGAGAATGCCCACACTGAGAGGACCACACAGTGCAGGGAGGCCTCTCTGAAGGTTTGGGAAAGGCCCTCTGGGTACCTCCTGCCAGGTTCCATGTCAGACTGCTCAGCTCTCCATCGTTTCGAGGCCACAAGGGCTGATGGGAGCTTCTGGTGGTGACAGAGAGTGGAAAGTTGGTTGGTTTTTCCCACCGTAGTTCACAGTCTGAACATCTGCCGGGATGTGTCCCTTCTGCTGATTATTGACACAGCACTCACTCTGGGTTCTGTGTCAAGCTTTCCGGACCCCCCCGCAAAAAAAAAAAAAAAAGCAATAGGGTGATTCATTGACCTCAGGCAACTTGAAACTTCAAAAATAATTATTCAAAGGTGGCGATTCAGGTTGCCATAGCAAAAGGTCTCTGTCCAGTTCAAAGGCAACCCAACAGGAACAAATGATTCCCATTAAAACCAAGGACGGGCTGTGGGTAGAAGCGCTACATTCTTAGGGAAATTCATCATAATGTGGTAATCCACTTCCATCTCAAAGAGTGAAAAACACCAACCAGCAAAGTCCTTGAGCAAAGCTTCAAGTACTAAGCAGAGGAAGAGTAAGATTCCTCGGGGCGCCTGCTCCCGTGTAAAGAGTTACTATCTCGGAAACCCTCGGCGGCAGTTCTGCCCTGTCCTATCTAGCCAGTCTCTTTAGTCAGGATGGCTGCGCGCTCGGAGCTCAGAGCCATTGTTTTTAATGGGTTGCTATAAGCCCTGGTGGTGCAGTAGATAAAGCGCTCAACTTTAAGCAAAAGATTGACAGGCCAAACCCATCAGCAGGTCCCCAGAAGAAAGGTGTGGCAGTCTGTCTCGGTAAAGGTGTCCAGCCTTGGAAACCGTGGGGCAGGACTACTCTGTCCTACAGAGTCACTGTGAGTTGAATCCAGTATATGGCAATGAGGCTGGTTTGGGTTTGGTTACTGGGTGGTTCAGAGGCAGATTAGGCTCCATAGCAATGGGTCCCCTGCACCCCATGCCCACTGTAGTATTCCCTTTCCCATCTCAATAGCTCCAGCTCTTTCTGTCATCCCGTGTTTCCTCTGTCTGCTTAAGCTGAGGCTTGATCAGAAGCGAGTGGGAGAGGGGAAGAACACATTGGACCAGACATAGCTAATAAGCCAGTAAACACAAATATCCATCCCAGAGCCCTAGGAACCAAGCCCTTATGAGGGCCCAGTAAAACTATCAAGGCTCTGAATTCCAGCCTCAGTTTACACATGGCCTGACCTTGACAGCTGATCACCACTTGGGGCCTCGGATTCCTTATCTGCAAAACAAGGTTAACAGCCTCCATTGATCTGAAGACTAGGTGAGGGTGACTGTTATTAAAAGACGCTTCAGGGTAGACAATGCTTATCTAACCGGCAGCTACAAGTAGCCCCAAATACCGTGAGAGCACACCCTCTAGGCTAGGGCTAGGTTTAGGGCGAATTCCGCCTCGAAGTCTGAGCAAAATGTCCTTGCGCCTTTTTGTTGTATATCAAAAAAGGTATACGAATTTGGGATTCTGCTCCAAAATAGATCTGTGATTGCTTTCATATAGGAAGAAGCATAGCTCTACAGACAAATTAGATGGAAACAAAGGAGCGGCTGTTGCATAAGGAAGGGAACTGGCTACAGGACACCACAAGAGGCTGGTGGAGCCCAACTTGACGGCATGCGTTAAACTCTCCCTTGCTTTCAGAGAAAAATGATCCCTAACCAAATGGAACAACATTTAGGCGTGAAAACTCATAGATGCCCTTGAGCCAGTGAGGGGGTGTGTACCCCCAGGTCAGACTTACTCAGACGGCAGGGGTTGTGACTTTAGCCAGACAGGGCTGTGGGAAGTTAGCTGGTCTTGAGCCGACTGCTCTTCCCTGCCCACTTCCTCTCCTGATTTTCACCTCTCTATTGCCTAGAAAATACAGGCGAGGCTTTCTACTCCCATAAAGAATGATAGACTAAGAAACTCACAAGGGCAATTGTACCCAGTCCCGGTGAGTCAGACTCCACTCGAAGGCAGTGAGTGAGTGAGTGGTGAGTTAGAGTGGCCTCGAACAAGGGCAGTGATTGGGTGTTTTTGGTTTGGGTTGTCTGAGAATACAACTTCCAACTCTGATGATTTTTCTGGAACATACAAAATAAGGTCACCAATGCTATTCCAAGGAGCCCCGGTGATGTTCTGAGGTAGCATGCAATGGCCTGCTAACTGCAAAGTCAGTGGTTCAAACCCACCAGGCACTCCGTGTGCAAAAGCGGAGGCTCTCTGCTCTGTAAAGATTTACCGTCTAGGAACCCCTCTATGTGGGGTGGCAGTGAGTCACAATTGACTCATTGGCAGTAGGAGCATTAACTGAGCAGTCTGGCATTTCATATGATCCTGGCTACCAAAAGAATAACTTACAATGTCAGGGGCCGGTGGAGTCCTAGACTCGATGGCCCTTGAAAGAAGGGGACCCCGTCCATCCTTCCCTGTCAGCTCCATGGGGGACACGTCCTTTCAGTTCTCCACATTCAGCGAAAGGTGTGGATCACTGAGAACTCACAATGTTCAAAACAGCTCACAGGAGACTTGCAACAAATTGGGGGGGTGGGGCACTTAAAGTGAGACCAAGTATTAAAAACCAATAGCTTCTTTGGCCCCGGAAGTCTCCAGCTGGTCAAAGCCACAACAAAACAGCGAGCATCGATGGCCGACCTTCAGTAACAGATTGTCAGGGTCCGAGCATTGTTTTATCCGGGACCCAACAATGAGGTTGTAAGTTAAGGTTTTTTAAAGAGAGAAGGAAAAAAAACAAGTAAACCTTAGCCAAGTCAGCCTGAGGCAGATCCAGAGAACTCAGTCTTTCCTTAACGTCCAGGCCCAGCACAGCGCCTGGCACAGGTGTGTAATTCACTGCTGTCTTCTGACTGGGCGTCCTAAGCGGTATACAGTGGTCTTTCTGGAATGCTTGTCCCCAGAAGCCAGTCCCTGGCCGGATGAGGGCTCCCAGACCACACCCCATTACCCTTCTGGGTGCAGCACGCTTGCAAGGAACTCCCGGGCCTGGGGCACCCCCTCGCCCAGCACCCCCCTCCTCCAGGGCCGGCAGCTCCTTACCGATCGGTGACGGGCAGCGGTGCAGAGCCTTGTCCTCCGAAGTCACACACCCTCCTCCGGGCTGAACGGGGGTTTTATCCCGGCCGGGCCGGCCCACTTTGGGGTGGAGACGGAGTCCGAGGTCTTGTCCCTGTGCCCACGGGACCGGAAAATCCCTCCCAGGGCGAAGCGCACCTGGCGCCTCCCGCCCGGAACCGGGCCGCAGCTCTGGGCTGGGGGTAGACCCGCGGGGGGCTCCTCACACCTGCGGCCAGGTCTGCCTGGCACGCTTCCTTCCCGGGCCGCCCAGTCGCTCCGTCCCGCAGAAGCGAGGAAGTTTGACTTTAGGGTGCTGGGCCACCCACCCCGAGTGCGCATGCGCAGATCATTCCCTAACCGCGCCCAGCGCCCAGCTCCGGGTGGGGCGCTGGTGTCCCGCTGCAAATCCGAGCTTCCTCCCCGGGAGTTGCACCCCCACCCGCCACCCGCCACTCGCCACCTCGCCCTCCACCCCCAGCTCCCACCCAAGCTCTTGGCCCGCAAAGGAGAAAAAGAAAGCGCATTTCCGTGTCCCCTTTCACACTGAAACGTGCATTCCAAAAACTTTCCAGCGCTCCCGCTCCCTTCCCGGAAAATGGCTTTTCATGTACGCACTTAGGTGCTCAGCACGCAGGGCCTCTTTGAGAAGAAGACTCTGGTTTTCTCTCCACCGATGCTTGATTATGGGTCTCTATGAAGCCGGTACCAGCAGGTGTGTGTTACCTGCCACTACAGTGGTGTCGTGGTCATGCGTTGGGCGGCGATCCACAGGGTTGACAGTTCGAAACCTCCAGCAGTTCTTTGGGAGAGAGCCTGGGTTTTCTACTCCCATAAACAGTTACAGCCCTGGAAACCCAGGGGTGGGTTGGGGTGGGTGGGGCACTGTGAGTCAGCACTGACTCGATGGCAGTGAGTTTGATTTCTGTGTGTGTGTGTGTGTGTGTGTGTGTGTGTGTGTGTGTGTGTGTGTGTGTGTGTGTGTGTGTGTGTGTGTGTGTGTGTGTGAGATTGGAAGTCAGGGAGCCCTGGTAGCATCGTGGTTACACATGAAAAGACCAGGTTTTGTGTTCAGCGATCTGAGAAGTCAGCGATCTAATAAAAACGCTGCGCCCTTGGCGTCACTGTGTGTCTAAGAGAACAACCGCAAAGCCATAGGAGTCCACGGAGACTGTGGTTAATTCACTTCCCTCCTTTCCCTGGCTAATTTTAAGAAAAGGCAAGTTACAGCAGTTAAGATTAGAGACCCTTACACCTAGGTGGTACAAAGGCTAAGCACTGGATTACTGGCTTATTTAAAGGGTAAGCAATAGAATAAAATTAAATAAGGATAACTCATTTCCTCAGAGTGGGAAACATTTGCATCCCTTAAAAATAACAAAAGCACTTAGATGTATATACATATCCATACATCCGTCCTCAAACTCACTGCTGACTGACAGCCACCCTATAGGACAGGGTAGAACTAACCCTATGGGTCGTGGTTTCAAACTGCAGACCTTGCAGTTAGCAGCCCAGCTCCAAGCCACCAGTCAAACCAAAAAGCTGACGTGGAAAAAGCATGTACCGCTGAGAGTGAGTCACAAGTTGAGTCTCCCCTCTCCAAAGAAAGGCCCTCTGATGAGTTTGAGGGCTAACTTTTATGGAGCGTAAAATAAAGTCACCCACTACTTGCCATTGAGTCAATTCTGACTCACAGTGACCCCAGGTGCGTCAGAGTAGACTGCCCTCTGTTCTTCAACAGCTGATGTTTCAGTAGTAGGTCACCAGGTCTTTCTTCCAAGGTAGCTCTGCGTGGATTCAAACCACCAACCTTTCAGTTAGCAGTTGAGCACGAACAAACAACCAGGGATAAATTCATAGGTTCTTCCTGCTCCAGCACTCCTGTGGGATCAGTAGAAACTTTGCTCGGCTTCCTCCTCTGCTCACTCCCACCTCTTTCATCTACTTAACAGCTTTCTCGAGAGAATGCTCCCTCCTTAAGGCACTTGCTCGGCCTTCTGCTTCTAGGGAGCATGGTCTAAGGGTATTTAAAAAATTAATGTCGTTGTTGAAATTAGAGACTCGAAGAAGCCTTTCAATTAAAGATAGGAAAATTAACCTCTGAATTTCCCCCTGTTCCCTCTAGACATTCCATGAAAGCGATAGTCGTTTGCTTATTATTTTTTAAAATTCTTGCAGGGGCAGAGAAAACAGCATTTTGGACTCTGGAAACGACAGGACGTCATTGACGAGTGGCCCTGAGGAAGCTGACTCCTAAAGCCAGGCGAGGGGAAGGCAGACAGGCAGCATCATTTATCCCGTAGACCTCCTCCAGATACAGGGACACTTGTCTCTCAGGAACTCCAGACAGTGGTGTAGGGACAGGAGTCAATGGTCCCCAAAGGACCACACTTCAGTTGAACAGGCACTTCCAGTGTGTCCCTCCCCCCCACAGACAGCCAGGGCCCACGGCATAACCAGAGGCATTCTAAATGCTTCCTCCTCCATCCTAACGGAATACACGCACTTAGCCAAGAGCCCCAAGTTTCTGGAATGCGTTCCAGCAGGCGGGTGTCATAGTGTCAGTGGGGTCCCACCTCATTTCAAGCTTGACAAGGGCTTCCCCAGCATGACCCCTGCGGCAGACACTTTCCCGTGCAGCCAGCCACCAATGTGCCGCTGTAAGCAGTTCTGCGTCTGGGTCCGTAAGCCACTCCTTCCCCCATGCAATTAAAATGATGGCTCTCCGATAAGTCCTGAGTTCTTCCATCTCTCAGCACCTATATATATAGAGAGAGTCTCTCCTCCTCTTGGGGTTGAGTTCCAACAACTGGGTGAGTCTGAAAAGGAGGATTTGTCTTCGGTGTGTAAAAAAAAACCCCAATCAGGCTGCTCCTCCGTGCTGCACAGCTGCCACCGACCCCACTGTTAGGGCCCGAGATGGAAGCCTATTCTCCAGAGAGGAAACAGCGAGCTTAGGCATGGAGGCTCACCAGGTACCCTCACTGCCTAGGCCAGGATCCCAAAACATAGTGACTTAAAGCAGCATCCCCGTGGCGCTATTGTAGGTCACTACGCTTTGGGATGTTGCTGAGGCCAGCTTAGAAAACCATAATGCTTTGACTTTACTTCACTGTTTTGGGACAGGGCTGGGAGGGACAATTCTTCTGTCCCATGCGGCATCAACAAGCCTCTGGGTATTACTCAGCTGGCACACAGGCTCCTCTGGAGGCTTAATGCACATACCTGGGATTTGTGCAGAGGGAGCTGGGAGGCTGGCCTCAGCTGTCATGATCCATCTGCATGTGTCCATCTGCATGTGTCCTCTCTGGTAAGGGCAATCTTGGAGTAGGTAGTCAAACTTCTGACACAGAAGCTCGGGGCTCTCAAGAGGATTCCCAGACCCCAGGCAGAGGCTCCTAGGCCTGGATACCCCTGAACAATATTTCTAGCACACTCTCTAAACCACACACACGAATCACTAATAGCAGCCCAGGTTGCAAGCAAGAGGAACTAGGTCCCTGAATGGGAGGTGTAGCCCATTTGGAACCACCGGTAATCTACCATGCAGGGCTGAGCGAATTGCCTGGCAAATTGAGACTCCGATGAAACTTCGTGTGAATTTTGCGCTGTTGAATAGTCTCCCTTCATGTGCCTCCCACAACATTGGTGGCCAGGATCGGTCAGTTTGGTCAGTTTGGGATACTCTTTTCAGTGGAATCTGAGAGGAAAGCCCTAAAGATGCTGTCAGCAGTTATTCCGCACAAAGGAGCCCAGCTAGAACACCCTGTTAGCGAATGTTTTAATGCTGTTGCTGGGTTTGCTAGTTGATGATGCACAGAGGGAGTGGATGCGTAGAGACAATAACGGATGGTTTCTTGGCGACGCGGAGGTGGGTGAGGGGGGGAAGACTGAGGAGGTTTGGGGAGCAAACAATGAATCTGGGAGGGAGGGGGAAGCGTAGAGCTGATTGTAATGATGTATTTGCAACTCTTTCAAAAAGCAATTTAACCGTGGAAGAGCATGATCAAGAAAACTACTAAAAAGAAAGGAAACTAGACCAGTGGTTACCATGGATAAAGGACAAAGAGTTGTTGCTTAGGGGGCATTGAGTTTATGTTAATGGTAGTGGAATAATTTGGAAAAAGGTATCCATAATGGTTGTGCAACACAAGGAGTATAATCAATGGCACTGAATTGTACTTGTAGAAGTTGTGGTGGGGGCGGGGAGGGAGGGGAAAAAGTGAGGAGCTGATACCAAGGGCTCAAGTCAAAAGCAAATGCTTTGAAAATGAAGAGAGCAACAAATCTGCACATGTGCTTGACACAATGGATGGATGGATGGATTGTGATAAGAGTTGTACGAGCCACAAATAAAATGATTTAAAAAAAATGAAGTTGTGGAATTGGAGAATATTTTGCTGTGCATATTTTTTGCTACAATTAGAAAAGAAAACAATTAAACGAATAACAATGAGTACAAGGAAGAAGAAAATGTCCTAGAATTGAATGTGGTGATAATTGTATAACTCTTCTTGGTATCATTGAGTTATTGAATTGTATGATGCGGATGAAGTGCTAATAAAACTGTTTTAAAAAAATAGAGTTAAAAAAATAAAAACAAAACAAAACAAAAAAAAGAGTTACAGTCTTGGAAACCCACAGGGGCAGTTCTACCCTGTCCTATATGGTCACCATGAGTCAGAATTCACTCGATGGTAGTGAGTTTGCTTTGGTTTGGAAGTCTATTAAGTGCGCAACAGCATTATGAAAAAGTTTAAAATATTGTCAGAATTTCTAAATGTGATCCAGAGACAGGAGGTGAACACACATTGTTGGGAAAATGGTAACATTAGATGGACTTACCCCAAGGTTGCTACAAATCTTTAATTTCTAAAAAGCACAATACCTGTGAAGCAAAATAAAGTGAAGTACAATAAAATGTGATGTGCCTTTTTTCATACCACACCAGAAAAGTGCTTCTTGTTTACTTGAAATCTAAATTGACTGAGCACCATGTATTTTGTCCAGTAATTCTAAGGATGAAATCAATAATTCTGGCAGAAAGCTCTCTGTGTATTTGCAGGTGGCTGGGTTGGACAAATGTGAATATATTGCCGTGAACAAGGATCTGGGATCAGCCATCACTGTTTCAGCCAAAGACAGAGACCGGGTTGTTTTGAGAAACTGTTTATTCTGAAACAAGAGACAGAAGAAAAAGGTGGAGTTTGCTACCTCCAAACTGCTTCAAAACAAAACTTCAAGAAGAAAATAATAAGAATATAAAATAAAAATAAAGAGTAAG